AAACAAACTTTTGGATCTTAGTGATGGGGACATTCTTGTTATGTACTGTTCACACTGTGAAGCTATTTTTTTTTAACAATGCTTGCAAAACTCCCTAAATCAGGTGAAATGTTTATGAGATTTGATGAAAATCACTTTTATTCTTCAACCTCAGTCAATTGTACCATGTCTTCCTGTGGGTTTCGCCTCTCCTTAACCAGAGGTTTCTTGCAGTTAATGGATTTTTTTTATTTTTTTGTATATAATACACGAATTAACAAGCAATTCCAGTACAAACTGTTTCACATCTCAGGAAAGACAAGAACAAAATGCATTTAGCTTTTCCGTCCTTCCCAATCGCTAAAGCACAAATAATGGGATAAGAGTCTGAATGCAGTTTCACTGAGACAAAAGCTGAAATGTTACATTCAAGATCCTGCAGACGCAGCAGAGATATTTCCCCATTATTTGATGTAATTCCATTATGATCCAATGAAAGAATAACAGAAATATGAAGCAACCCACGTTGTGAAGGGGATGAACGAATTTATTATTCCGTGTTTCTTTTTTTTATTGTCTGAGGAGCCATAATCAGGTGGGTAATGGCAGTGCTCTTGTGCTTCCGGAGATACCGCAGCCTTGTCTGGAGAAAGTCCTATTACCGGTTTGTTTAATCTTGCCAAGTCAGCAGACACAGCAAACATCTGTTTGATGTGATTTGTTGAACCATCCCATTTTGTGTTCGACCACTGCATTCCCACAGTTAAATAACATGCTAGTGTGACATCCTGAGTCATTGTCTTCTCAGCCTCCAAGCAGGCGGTGGTTAAATTTAATGGTCTGTATCCCAGGTCTGCTGCGGCACTAAAAGCCCTACCTGATATCTAATCAGTGCCACAGGCCTTTTAGCTCCGGGCCAACTCGGGGAATAGGAGGGTCAGCAGCTGGTTTGGGGAGTGGGTCACAATAGTGGTGGTAGGGAGAGCTGAGAAGGGAACTGAGAGGGATTACACCTCTGGATGTGTTGCTTTTATCCTGGGAATGTAATCTGCCTTAATGCCCTACGCTCACCCGGGGCAAGGCCAGCAGCTGTGCTCGTTTTTCTCCAACTTGTCAGAGCGATTCGGACTACCTGTGGGAAAAAATGCCTGTGGGAAGCTCTGATCCTCACCCTGGGACCTGTGCTGGGATCCTGTAGTTTATTGGGGGACAATCTCTTGAAGACTTATGGAGGCGTTGTGCAGTTAGGGTCAACACGGTCCCAGGCCATGTAAACAGAGATAGCTCCTTCACATTTAGCAGGGCAAGGGAAAGTTAAGAGTTGAAAGGGTCTCAGATTTGGCAGCTGCTGTGTGGTCTGTATTTTACAAGAAATGCAGTCAGTGGGAAGTACTTAAGAACTGTGTTGTGTAAACAGGACTAGTGCTGGTTAGTGGAGAGACATAAAGCAGTGTGGTGCTGTTCAGACTCATTTTGAAGAATGTTTCCATCCACATAGATAGACCAATAAAATACAACACTGAAGGGAAAGGAAGTGAATACTGACTAAACAATTCAGTCTTAAAATCAGGAGTTAATCAGCCACTGGACTGTGGAATAGTGGATGTCTTTCATGTTCGTTCAGAACCCACTTTAGACAAATGGACTATACATGAAACACATCATAGCGCTATGGCTTGAACAAAAGCTCACAAGATATACAGTAAAATAGGAATTTTCATTAGATTTTTTATCTTTTGGAAATGCACTGACGATTTTCTCCTCGTTTCTCTTTTCATCGCTGCCACAGAGGGTTCAGCAGATCGTCTATTCTTGGGGAAATATGTGTTTGAGCATGTAGGCCACCTCTGTGGCCTTCAATTTCTCTTCCGGTCGAGTCTTATTTGGCTTTCAGTGGAGTGTGCATAGCGGTGTTTCAGCCATTGATGGGCCTCATGCATTTCAAACTGCTGTGACCTTCTTTTGATTTAAGTCCGTTTTCCACATCTGGCCCAGAGCGCCGTATCAGAGTATATAGGTATATAAAAGACTGAATGTGGAAACTGCTAGACGGCGTTTTGCTTTGCCTGGTTAGAGAAAAGGTGAGTTGATGAGACAAGGTAAATGAGGTGTGATTTGAGGGGGGAAAAAAACGGTGGGACTTCTACTGGCTCTGCACAGGATGGAGGTACAGGAGGGAAATCACGCACATCTTTCACCCTGTCCCCTCATCCATAAGTGGTTACGGCTGAGCTTGTTTCCATCAGCCTCTGGGCACGGACTGTCTGTGATGACACTCTCCATCAACCTGGAGAGACGTTCAGCTCGGTGGCTCGTCTCCACCGCTCGCGCCGCCCTGGATTTCATCACAGTTAGTGTGAGGGACAAAGACAAACTTCAGTCTCTGAGGGCTGTGAAGGGTTCATTCCACAAGCAGGGCATTCTCCAGCATGCTTAGCACCCCTCCTCTCCATAACAAGGCCACAGCATCTGACTCCATTTGTCCCCAGAGTTTAATAAAGATCTGCTCTGACAGGCAGTAAACCAGCACAGCCACCCACAAGCCTCCAGGCAAGAGCCACCACCCCGGCCTACCTCCTCCCACTCCTCTCTGCGCTCTCATCCTGCTGTTAAACGCCCCTCATGGACAGACCTGGGGTTGGAAAGCGAAACCCAGCTCCCTCTTGAACAATGGCTCAGGAGCCCAGCAGAAGCTCCACGCCTCTGTGGAAATGCTTTGAGCGTTTGGATTTTTTTCTTGATGGTGTACATTACGTACTTCTGTGAAGCGCCGCTACTCTTCACACCCACTTGCACCTGTCAGTAGTAGATCAAACGGATAATAAAAGAAACAATATGGCTTCAGGGCTGGATGCACTCATGCATCGTACGTTTCATGTGTTCCACTTTATACTTATGCATAAGCTCTCAAGTAGTTAGCTCAAAATGTGATGGCATAAACATATGGGTTAAATGTTTGAGCTTTTTTTTTTACAGCCTGCTGGAGATATTTTTACAACCAGACTTGCATTTGCTTATTGTTACATGAAATATGTATCACTCTTGATGTCCTTTACGCTCTTCTCCATCTCTCGTCCTCCGTGGCCTTCGATTTGATCACATCGTTCGCCTCGACATCATCATCGCCTCCATCAGCGCCATCATCTTCATATGCCTTGTGGCCCTGACCCTTTACTCACTCTGCCGGGCATAAAGCTTACAGACAGCTTTACAGGAGAAGCCCACTCTCTAACCTCCAGAAGCCAAACTGAATAGCAGATGGGCTCAGCTTTGTGTGTCGTTTTATTAGCTCCCCTAAATCAACGACTAACAATGCATGAAGAGAGAGAGAGAGAGAGAGCGGCATTGATTTCTTCCATCTACCAGCGCCTGGAGTGGGTAGGGATTGGTCGGAAGGTAAAGGGTGAAGGGGTGGAGTTGACTGGTTATGACTTTTCTTCAATTTCCTGCATTGGAAGCAAGAACCTGAGGTGAGGCCAGAGTGTGAAAACAGCAGCAAGCAGTGCCCCCCCCCCCCCCCCCGCGTGGTCTCACATTTCACCCTGATTAGTCACAGGCTATTTCATCTTTTTCCTGGGGAACTATCCCATTTTGTAAGGCTCTGTTATGATTATATCCTGTGTATGGTTTGTGATTGGTATATTTAGACGTATAGTGCTTTAGCATTGACATCCACTGGTTGATATCACGCTGTATCATTCGTTCATCAGTTGTCAACTGTTTATAATTTCCAAATAGTAAATAATTAACCAGCACAGCTCAGTTAACATGAGGCTGGAGCCGTCAGCGCCTGATGCATGATGGTCCTTTAAGCAAAGCGATGATTTGGAGATCGTGCTTATCCATTTGGGCACCCTGAACAAATTGAGTAGGAGTTTAGGAGTAAGAAGTGCATGGCTGCTAAGTGTCCATTATTTCTTGTAAGGCTGCAGTAAAATCCAGTGATCATACTGTTAATGCTGTGGGTGTTTGCAGAGAAAGGTAATCTAAAAGTCTGTGTATTGAGTTGCCTTCACGGGGAGTTGATTTAGGGTCCCTCGGCCTCCCTCTTTGGTCTCGGCGCCTGTCAGGTTAGCTGTATTAAGTGGCACTGCATTAGGGCAGTGGATTGTTGTTTTTCCTGCTGCTTCACTCCTCCTGATCACCTCAGAGGTTCTATGAAGCAAAGGTCTCATAAACATTTATGTGTGGGCTGTGAGCTCCCGTCTTAGGCCACGACTCCACTGGGCAGAAGCCTGTAGTGCCCCTTTATGCCTCTTAAGAGACCCCCTTGGTTTTGTGTGTGCATGTGTGTGTTTGTTTTCTTTAAAAGTTGTTTCTCCTTCAACTTTTGATTTGAATAGTTCAATGACAAATCTGTATGTTTCCCACTTCCCGGAAGGGTTTGTTATTTTCACATTTGGTGGCATGTCATATGCTTTCACATTGGGACACTTATCATATGCAAATTATATAGCTTTTGGCGAAGAGTCCCCTCAGCTGTCATTTTCCTTTGTCACTCCTTCCAAGCAGAGAAGGACACCCCAGGGAGCCTTCTGAGAGATGTAATGAAAGGACACAACTCCACTGGACACTTTTTCTAAAAGCAGTATTGGGATGAAGAGTTTTTTGACTCTTTTCTTTCTTAAACTTCACGAAACAAATGACAACAGATTGAACTATTTGTGATAAATGCCAGAATCTCCAGCTAATCCCTTTAAGCTTTATTTCAGGAGTCCCTGCTACGTCCCTGTTTTCCCAGTTTCGTCTCAGAGATGAGTGAAATGTGCACATGCCGTTTGAAACTTATTAGCAGTCTTAGGTTGCATGCAAGCAAAGCATCTCAGTCCAAACAAACAAAAAGAGGAAGTGGTTAAAGCAGAGAATGATGGTCCCCGAGGGCTGTCAAGGACCACACTGCTCGCAGACCACTGACATCCAGGAAATCCTCGCAGTAGGGCGGACTGGAGATATAAACATTTGTCATGCATGGTCTTCATGTTTGCTGACTCAAACCATCTTGTTTCTTCTTTTGTGTGCAGGACCCCGGGTATGCAACCTTCCTGCTCGAGCAGCTCCAGACACCTGGAGATCAGGAGCCTGGCTGCTGCCCGGTGTGCTTCACACCTCTGTACCAGCTGAGGCAGGAGGCCTTGCAGACGCTTCGTGCTCCCGTGGTCGCCTTCGGCTCAGACAGGGCAGCCTTACCCACTGCGGCTGTTTTACCGCAGCCCTCCCGACTCCCCGTGCCGCCCTCCAGCATCCACAACAAGCAGTTGTCAAAAAGCCAGCCCTCCGCCCGCTCGGTCGTGTCCCTGGGGGAGCGACACAGAGTGCCAGGCTGGTCCCAGAGCCCCACTGCCTCCTCAGGGGCAAAGACCAGTGTCCAGGTCACCGTGGCGGGAGGGCAGCTGACAGGGTCTCTCAGCACCGTTACAATCCAGGCGCAGCAGTACCTCGAGGGCATGTGGAGCATCTCCAGAGTCAACAGCTTCCTCCCTCAGCCTAAGCCCGTACGTGTGTTTTCTTCTTTATTCAACGCAAGCGTTACTTGAGGCACAAGCTGTGATATATCTGAACTTACTCTCATTGTGTAATGAAAAATGTCAATGTTACTCTGGATTACAGATATTATGTTCGACGTGCTTCAAACTGTGAAGCTTTTACCTTAGAGGTGAGGCGTCTCACTCTCTACGTCCTTTTAATAGAGCAGAGTGACCCTTTTGAGCATTGAACTATTACTATTATTACTGGCCTGTGAATGGGATATTCAGACAGGCAAAGTGTAAATAATGTCAAGACATTTTTTTCGACATACATATGCAAGCCCTTACAACTGGAATTTTTCCTTCGCCCAGTTTGAACACCGCGGATAAATTATGCTGCATACATAAACCACATATTACATTATTTTTTTCTACCAAGAGAGGAGGTTTGGAACAATATCTGGTGATGAAAAGGTCTAACTTCCCAGATCAGCCTTTTGAAAGATCATCACATGCAGATAATGTGATATTGATGGGATATATCAATTGGAAAATAAATTAGAGAGGAAAGATTAGCAATCTATATTTGAAAAGAGTCAACCAAAATCATAAAAGATTAATAGTGAGCTTTTCCCCTCTTTTTATCAATACCATGTGTAGCGCTCATTACGTGAAGTCGATACAGATGTTCAATTTTCTCTAAAGAAGATAAAGCCCTGAAGAGAATCCGTGAGTGTGCAGGAGTGCTGCATTCTCATTCCCCAGAAGTCTGGAAGCCTGACTGATCTGAGGCCAGAGGTCATCTCAACACTAATCTGCTGACCTCCTCCTCAAGGGCATTTTAGATGACCACCCCTTAGCCTCACCCTAACTCTTCTCTCAAGGCTCAGGCATTAGCCAGTGGTCTCTTTGATGTCGGAGAGATGTGGAAAGCTTTTGGCTGTTAGTGTCGTGGGAGCTGCTGCACCTTTCGATGATTAATCTCCACGATTGACAGTTTTACAGCCGAAGAAGAACAATTTGACAGTGTTAACAAGTGTCTCGTAACCTACTTATGAAGGCGTCTGCTTTAGCTGATGTATTTCATCCTGGGTTGATGGGGACATCTGGTCTCAGATCTGAGTGACGAAGTGCTGCGACATTCTGCAGCTGCCTAAGAGTGCGTACAGTCCAAACAATATGTGCTAACATCATCTAAAGTTCCACTGCTTATTTTTTATCGGCCTATATAAATGGTGCCAATTCTGTTTTGGGTTATTGATAACTGCTGTTTTCCGTAGGTTACTCCCTGAAAAGGGATTTTGAGCCCTCTTTAATGTCAACAACTGCCTGTAGAGATGGTTTATTGGATGCCATCTAAAGCTTTTAACTGTGTGTATGCAATCTAGTTTAAATCAAATGTCTTGCACAGAAGGGAGAGGCTGACTTGTGTTCTCCATCTATGTGCCTAAAAGCAATTAGTGGCTCTTGGAGCTGGGGCCGGTTGTTCAAAGTCTGTAGCTGAGTGGGGGCGCCTTCGTTGGACAGAGAGAAATGTCCCTTCAGGACATTAAGTTGCAAACGGAGCAAAAAATGTGTTATTTTCTCAAGACAATTGCTTTAATTTCAACCAGACCCTTCAAAGTGACAAATATCTGCACAGGCTGCCACAAATTGGAAGTTACACAGAGCTTAAAGGCACATGCTTTGTTGGGAGACGGCACTGTGGCTGAAAACACACAAATATGGACTGTGTGTGTTATGGAAATTCCTCAGAGCGTCAACTGGGAGGCCTGGGGTACTTCTTCAAACAGCTCATCATACAGCACCTCAATTCTGCATCTTTGGGCAAAGCCTAACATCTGGAATTACAATGGTTGTGTCTGTTGATTTGAAGTGGTCTTCCTGCTTTAAAAACTGATTGAAACATGTTCATTCAGCACAGCAGCTCCGTATCTCAAACTGCTATCTCAAAGCAAAAATGTTCTGAATCCCATCTGGGCTTTCTCTGTGTGTAGTTTACATGTTCTCTTTGTGCTGTCTGAGCGTGCTCCAGGTACCACATTTGAAAGTGAAGTTGAGTGGGAATTGTTACTGTAGTTTCTCATAGATGTGAGTCTTGTATTAGTGCTGTGATGGGCTGACTGCCTGTCCAGATTGTACCACACTGTGCAAACTTGCATAGACATGTCATTAACATGTAACATGAGTGATCCAAGCGCCAACTGACAGTCTAAGATGCAGGTGTGTATGCACCCAGTAATGCTAATGTAATGGTTCAGAACCCTTACAGATGCAGTCTGTGCCACAAACCTTTAGCGTTCTGACACATTTGGTAGTCGCGTATCACTCTGGGTGCTTCCAGCTATTGTCAAGGATTTGTTTGGCGTAATTGCCAGTTTGGTTAATCATCAGCTCGGGATTTTACTTTGAGATAACTCTGGTATTTAGTCTTTGTAAATGGAAATAATAAAGACAAATCGTAATGCCAGACATTAGCTGAAATACTTAGAGCTGTCGTACTTAGAGCTCGGACTACCATGGACACATGTCCATGTCAGGTCTGAGCAATTGTTGCAGGTTCAGGACTTGATACAGAGCTGAAGTTATCGTGCTCCAACTTCATAATTACTCAAGTCACTCCTGGAAGTTTGAACAAAGTCGTTTTGTGAAATGGCATTACAAGCAATGCAATAATAACGCTCACAATAAGTAAATGATTCGTCCAAATCTGCAAGTCTGCCTTTGCGCCATTAAATCCACAACCACATGCAAATTAATCTGTGAATACCAAGTGTACTTGACTTTTGAGGGTTTCCGTTGCTGGCCTGATCGTCGCCTGCTTCCATGGCTTGCTCTGCTGCCACCAATTTGCAGCTCAGCAGATGATCTTGGCTGTTGCTGCCCTGGTGCAGCTGGGCTTCCATGGCAAGGTGCCACAGACAATGATGATGGCAAGAGGAGAAAGTGATACAGGAAGGAAAGGGACATTCCCAATAGGGATTAGTTGACGATTATGTGGTATTTTCCTGAAGAGACTGGATTCAGTTTGAAACAGCTAAAGATGAAGGAAGTTTGTATTTGTATTTGTACTTGATGCACATAGGAGTAGCCTGGTATTTTACGAGGTCAGTTCTCATGTCAGATGATTTTTTTTGGTTACCAAGGTGAGTCAAGCAAGATGGCCATATTAACAAAAGGCAGATTTCCTCTTTGTAGCGATCCTCGGTCGATCAAATGTCACTGGGTTGTTTGGGGGGGAAAGTGGTCTGCTGAGAAACGGCTGACCAGTCCTGTTCACTTCAGAGATGTGTGGAAGCATGCTCCCAAGTCTTTTCACTCTTTCTCTGTTCTGCACTTTTTCTATAAAGTTCACAATCTCTCCTGCCTATTCTCTCATCCTCCTCCTTCTCTTTTCAGTTGAAAACCGAGGCAAGGAGATCAGCGAGGGCAGAGGGGTTAGAGGGTGGAAGGCCAGCTCATTACTGACTTTTGGTACAAATGGCTGAGAACACATGGCTCGATTGACACAGCCTAATTACCTGACATGGGGATAGATTGCACTTTTCAGCCAGAATCAGGGCCAGTGTGGGTCCACGGCTACAGGGAACAGCTCGGGCGAGCAGCTTAAGTCTCCGGTTTTTACACCGAGGGGAATATTCGTTGATAGGCTCTGTGATGGACTCGCATGTGTGTGCACATCTTTATGATTGTATTGAGTCGGTACCTAATCCATTTGGAGGCTACATCCCAGCTCCACCTGTGCCCTGCTGTCTGGATGTGCTCTTTAAATTCGCTGCCACTTGATTTTAAAACAGGCCCTCGACCGATTCTATCAGCAGCAGATGTGATGAGCTGCACACCAGCTTCCTGTACGGCTGTGTGTGAAGTGCTCTAGTCTTTCATGCCAACGTGTAATGGGCCCACTTCCCTGGTATGCGCTGAATTCCTAGTGGGTCACCGACACCAGCGTGGTGTGAGGCTTTCTGCTCTGGCGGTGAGGGTTCGGGTTTGGTTCTCTTCAGTTTACGGGCACTTTTCCCACTGTGCGTTCCTCAAGCCATGACTTCACACACCACAGCTTTATATCCGTCTTAGCCTCCATGATTATGACTCAAGGGAGCTAAAGTAGAAATTTCAAACAAGGCTGGAATTCCTTAACTCTAACAAGCTCAACCACAGGAAATGGGAAAGTGGGAATCCATGAAGACTTTGCACCAGCGGGCCACTGTTTGACAACTGCTCAGTGGAGCTCCTCTGGGAAACGAGATTGCAGCCCCGCTTTAATATAGCTACACAATGTACAGCATTGTAAGGCGAACAGTTGCAACACCCCTTCAGAAGAAAAGCGGAGCCTCCCCTGTGAATGTTAAAACCTAAGTATATCCTCAGAATCTGATGCGGAGCATTCACTCGTCAGACTTGATGCATAAATAGTGCAGCTGTCAGTCTGTGCTGACAAATGGCAGGTAGAGGAAGGCCACACATTTAATAAAAAGATCATACAGGATGTTATTTTAGTTGCCAAACATGAATCTAGGGCAGAGACAGAGGTGGTAAATATGCAGAGGGCCTGAGCTATGTTTATAACGCACGTCCTATCAAATGGCTCTTAAGCAGCAGCTCCTTGTTGTTCCATTCAAAGTCGTTACTGATTGCTCAGTGTCGGTGTGTCAGAGTTACAAATGCTTTTAGGAAAACGTTGAGTTTTATTTATTACATTTCTCATGCTGAAAACGTAGAGAATCGGTTCTTGTCAGCTGCTAATGACCACTGATCCAACAGGGGATTAACCTTTGTGTGTTTGTGAGGTGAAGCCCCAGAAATGGCTTTTGGCCTGTTCAATTAGCGCTCCTGTTTTGGTTTGGGTGCGATGAGTTGACCACCACAGTAGGCAACGTGGATGTGTTTTCCCCTGTTTGAACTGTGGTCTCTCTTGTCTTTTCGGTATAATGTTCTATAAACAACTAAAACCAAATAAACTCAACTGGAATACATCAGTTTGTTTATAGGCTGTAAAATGAAGCCCATATTTGGGATATTTCTGTCATGCTGTTGAGTTGATGTGCCAACTTCATTATTTGTTAGGATCCAGATTTCAGGTGTAAAATTATTTATAGTCATCAGTTTTACGACTTTATTTTAGGATGTAGCACAGAATAGGATAATTATTGCTGAACAAATGCATTTATATTTACTTAAAAACATCAATGCTGGTTGAAATCTTGTCTGCCAAATGAAAATTATGATAAAAATGAGTTTCTAACTGGTTTAATCTGACAGTTTTTAATTTTTTCTTAATTTTTCTTAAATGGTTCCTTATTTCGCTGTGACTTATAAGCAACATAGCAAGTATACTGATATGTGATCTTTACCAAGTGAGTCGCTCATAGTTTTACGATGAGTCAGTAAACCAAATAACTGGAGCAGATGCAACTTACTCATGTTTACACCTGTTCAATTAGCTTCCAACCCAGGGTGTGCTTCATGGACAGTAAGCATAATTCAGATGCCTCCTAAATATTTGAGCTATGCAGTAAATCGCTCCTCTAACCGCTCGCAAGTTGATTTTTTGCTCCCTTTGAAAAACTCATTCTCAGATACTCTTACCCAACCTGCATGAGTGCCAAATTATCCATGGAGGTATAGATATAATGGGGTGGAGAGTGAGTTAAATCACTTGTGATTAAATTACTAATTAAATGTGGGTTATTGCTTAATTACAGTATGCTACAACCAGAGCAACCTTGTGAGTGTTGCCAGAATCAATGAATGGTGCAGTATCCTTGTTCAGTGGGGAGCTTTCTGCCGTGGATACTGCTGACTGCCACTAACCGCTACTGGCCGCAGCAGCTGCCCGTCCATCTGTGGCAGAGGAGCGTGCAGTAGGGGGAGCAAATGGAGTGGAAGCAAGGTAAGCAAGAGGAGGGAAAACCATGGCTGTGTTCTTATCTCTGCATCCGTGTGTCAACAGGCCCACGCTTTGATGGGGGAGGCAAAGGGGGAGGCCAGAGCCTTGGAGGCCCCTGTCACCACCGTGACCAACCCCACCACCACCAGCACCACCAGCAGCAGCAGCCTGACGCCCTGCCGACTGAGGGCCTCCAGCCAAGCGGGACATTCAGCGCCCGGAACCAGTGCGTCCGCCTCCCCCTCTCATTCCTCATCTGCAGCAGCTTCCTTCTTCATTAGGTAAGCACCTCCCCGTTTTTTTTTTTTTAAATCACTGGATGGCTGCGTCTGTCAAAACGCGGGGAGCTTAGATTGAGCTGTCCTGGTGCGAAATGCATTTTGCGTACACACCTGCATACTAGCATTCAGGCTCGGTTTTGTGCCGGTGTGCACGCAGGGAGATGAGGAGATTTGCACAGACTCGCCTTCAAATGCCTGCTGAAGGTTATGGTTTATGGTGTTAACCTCCATTTGGGGCTCCTATTGAGAGGAGATGTTGTTCTGGCTATGCTTGAATTGCAGTTTGCCCCAGGATACACATCATGGAACTAAATGAACCTTTAGTTGCAGGCCCCAGTGCCCTTGAATGGATGATAGAATTACATAATTTGATATGTGTCTCACGAAAGGGGCTTAGGTTAAAGCTCAGTTTTGTTCTGAATTGTATCAGGTTTAGTCGTTTTTCTTTTGCTCTGCGTCTTCAAACTTAAAAAAAACCCTCAGAGCCCCAGCCAGATACACGTGAAACGCTTCTGCAGCTGCAGTTGGGGGTTTTCATTTTGTAATTCGGTTAAACCATTTGTGTATCTAGGGCTCAGGGAGGCTTCTTTTACCCGTGCTTGGCTCTGGTGTTGTTGTTGCCCTGGTGAATACTTCACCCATGCCAGGCTGCTGAAATGTGCCGTACTGTCATTGATAAATTCCCTGGCAGGCTGGTCAGGGCATACATTCCCCATCTCTTCTCTCGAAGGAGTGGTATGCTATAATGAATGCTGGTGAGTAAAGCTGGCTAAGAATGATACATAGGACTATTGAAGCCCTGCACTACAGGAGGTGGAGAAAAGCAGCAAGGGACCTGCGGAGTGTGACAGGAAGCCAGTGGGGGATCTGTGTGGAGCTAAGCTTTTCTTCAAGGAGCCCAAACGGAGTTTGTCTTGACAGTTTTCACAGGGTCAGAGTCTATCAGTGGGACCATGAGTCCATGAGTTCCTTTGACTAAGGGGATAATGCAGATCCTCCAGTAAACATGCAGCTTCCTTCTCACCTCCTGCCCTAAGTGCAATAGGCCTAAAGAGCAGCTAGGTGAACCTCCCTGCCAGATAGGGTTCATTTCTGACACTGATGTATTAGATTTGATGTTTGCTTTGGGTCTGAACATAAAAGAGCTCAAAAAAGAGAGGTCTGAAGAGGCCGCATTTCAATGCAGGCCAAGCACAGGAAAGAAAAAGAGGAAGGTGGGTTTGTTTTTTCCCCTGTAGCTGCTCTGGTGGATCAGAGGTGGTGCAGAGAGGGTTCCACCTTTTTTTTTTTTTTCCCAAAGATATTTTGCTGCCAAGAATGCTGTGTTTGGCTTGGCTGACATAACTACAATGATAATGTGTCAGTCTTACACAGCATCGCAATCTACAGATCCAGAATCGGGTGGTGGGTGGTAAAGCGCTTTATTTGAAGCTCAGCCACTTCCTGGCCCCCAGCAGCTGTTCCCTGCACCAGAGACATTTATCATCATTATATTGTTTGCTTTTCTTGGATGGCATTTCTGACTGAAATAGAATGCTCCAAAAAGTCCGACAGCCAAATCAATTAACAGTTTCTTACTTTTACACGGTTTTGTTTCATTTGTAAAAGAAGAATCCAATTAAAAGAATGCCTGTTGTTTTTTTGGATTTAATTGAAAATTCATATCTGATTAGTGTTCTTGGTTTTTGTTCTCCAAAGATTCAATTAGTGGGATGAATGTGTAAATCCTTATAGCTCAGGTTGTAGGTGTGGAATAAGCAAATAGGGTTTTTTCTTTCTTTTTTACCCCAACGGGGTAAAAAACGCTCCTAAGACACTTGTCTGACATTCACTAACACTATTCCACTCAGAAATATGATTTTAATTAGAATGCAATTAGTTAGAGTCTAGGCGCTTTATTCAGTCTGCCGCTGCGAGAAAGTAGTGTTGATGAACAAAGAGATCTGACATTTAAGTTTTCATTTGAAAAGTAAGTCATCCGTGGAATTTATTTAAAATGCATTTAATTTGTTTCATTTCTGATGTCCACTGAGTTGAAAATAATCGTAGCAAAAATGTCAGCTTGATAACAATGGATCCCCGCAATGTCACAGTTTTGACAAGTAATGTGAATAGAAAAAAAGTAACCGGTCTTATCTGATGAAGCTTTTATAACATGGACTTATTTAAGTATATGAATAAGTATAGAAAACCAGTTCTTAAGATAACCAAGTGGAATAGTTTATCTGCGTCTTAGAACTATGATAAATCCATTTCAATTCTTTATGAAAGTACACGCTGAATTGTAGATTGTTCCTATAGAATCTATATTGATTATCTGTAAGAAACTGATTACCAATTCTACTTTTCTTCGCATACACAACAGAAACCTACCAGGCTGGAGATAAATTTAAAACGTTAGTGGTTCTATATTGCTTGAGGTATCATTCACCAAGTACTTTCCATTAAATACAAGAGTTCACTTGCGCCGCTTCAGCCGGCTGAAATCAGAAAAAAATCTTTGATTGTAAAAAGGTTTAATCTTTCTAGCCATTGCCCAGATTTCTGGAATCAGCGTGCTCTTTTATCCTACCCTCTGTTTCTGGTAACTGTAGGAAATATAGAATGAAATCCAACTGAGCCTCAGGATCAGAACTGACCATTTGGCAATTAGACTAACCATACAGTTGCAGGGGGATGAGATGAGTCAGAGGTCAAGCTTTGATTGGTTGAAGTGTGTGTCTGCATTTCATTATGTGTGTGGGGCTTCGTCGGTGTGTTATTGGGAGAGGGGGGGGGGGGGTGAATTTAGAGCCACATGTTCAGCTGACTTGCACGTTAGGCACTGATTGCCCTGTGACAGAGCATATGATTAGTGTATTGACACAGACTTGTGTAATGAGAGCAGGCGGAGCTCACAGCAGGTGTGAGCCGGTGTGGCTGGCTACCACCTCCAGGTTCCTTCCACCCATCTATCTGTTCCATTACCGCCTGTTGATTGTGGCGGTGTGTTTGTTAAGCACCTGGCTCATGGGACGTCGCTCTGCACACTGCTTAGAGGAGCCCATTGCTCAGTTTGCAGCCTGCTATGGCTCAGTACCGGATTGCAGCACGAGTCAATTTTCATGGTATATTGTTGGTCCCTTGTTCACGTTTGATTGGAGGGCAACAGTCCATTTGTCAGTCTGCTGCCTCACACTGATGATAGCCCGGAGATGGATGATTTACTACACACTGTGAGGATATGGGGAAGTGATGAATAGAAGGGTGCTGAGCACCTAGGATACAAAGGGGGCACACACACAGGCGGGTGGGCTGTTGCATAGGCGATAGGTAGACAGCTGTTTACTGGAATTCTGCTCCTGGAGGAGTGTCAAGGGGAAGTAGTTTTATGGTCATCCATTGCTGCCTTGCAGCTGCTGCCCAGGTGAGTGTTTGCTCAGTAATGACTGTGATCGTGCAGGAATCCTCCTGTAATTGTGGTGGTAGGGCCATTCAACCTTGGCTCTCCTGCACATACAAGACCCTGCTTTTGTGTCAGGAACAGTCACTCTGCCCTTCATCCCCCAGGCTGCTCCGAGTAACCATAGAAACAAGTCATTAGCTTGTGGGAGTAAAATGTGACTGATTTTTTCTTTCAAAAGTGGAGATTGGAAATCAGGAAGTTGGAATCGTCCACTCACCTCTGCTGGACCATAATTCAGTCAGGGGGAGGGACAAACGTTTGGTCAGTAATGAGTCCTGCTTGTTGCAAAGTGGAAGCACTACAACTACAAGTGCCTTAATAACACATGTTGGATAACTTGCTGAAGTCTATTGTTCGGTCATCTGTATTGTTTAATTGTTAATGAAGGCCACTGAGTTCATCCTGTTTGTTTGTGAAGGAGGCTGTGATTTAAGCACGTGTGGCCCGGGGAAAAGCAGTTATTCTATCCACTAACGGTAGGGGTGATCCGTACGGAGAGGCTCAAAGCGGGGGGAGCGGGACAGTGCTGTGTCTGGTTGGCTGTGCTGTGATTGACAGCAGGGATCTCAGTCAGTGACAAACAGGCAGGATAGATTACAGGCAACACGGGGGTCTACTGAGCCTAGCTGATCTGCCCCACATAGCGGGGGGATAAAGATACAGAGCAGGGCAGTAGCCGCCTGGGATGAATGTGCCTCCAAATGCCATTCAGAAGCTGAGTTGGACTGATGCTTCTCTCTGAGAGCTTCAGAAACAGGAGGTCTCGGCCTGTGGAGAAGAATATTGGATTCACTACCATGGGAGTCAAGTAAGTTATGTTTTACAAAGTCAACACTGAGCCTACTTGAAAGTGTGATCCTCTTCTTGTGTGTTTTTTATTCTGCTCTATGGGCTACTATTCTGTTTTTTCCTGTCTCCCCTGATTTATCTTTCTTTGTGTAGCACTCTCTCTTTTCCACTCTGTGGAATGTGCAGTTTTGTGCAGTCAGACTTGGACTGTTGGTTCCCTCGAGGTGAGGGGCTAATGGTTTGGTTGTCAAACCACCGCGAGATGGATTCCTCCACCAAGGGAGAGTGTGAGCAGACTGTATAGCATGTATAACACTGCAGAAACCCAGACTCCATTTTAAAGAAGGAGCCACAGTGGAGATGAAATGCTAATACTCCCTCTACCTCCAGAGACTGACAAATGAGAATTGATTCATATCAATCTGTTGAATCTGAGCAACAAATGCCCAAGGCAGCGAATGGCTCATCAGAAATATTGAGTGGGTGGTAGCCAGCATGGTTGAGCTGCATTGTGGTATTTGTCTTTGTTTGCTGGTGGATAAAACACCAGCTGGTATTTCCCTGCCATAATCAAGCTGATGGGACTAATGACTGCCTCTGTGCTGAGGCTGACCGTGGCTGCACCAGCTGAGGCCATGAAAAACCCAGGTGTGAATACACCCCAGGCTTGTCAGGCACTGTCGGGCCTGAGGTGTTGATGGAGCTTCAGCTTGGTCTTCAATCCTCGGGGAGCCACACCATGAAGATACATCTCATCCACCTTCAT